TTGACATCCGCCAATCTTTTCAACCCATTTACCGTGTACCTTGACGGCTTTCACGAGCGGTAAAATGTCGTATACTAGCAGCAGCTGAGGCAATTGCTATCCGCCACCAGAACCCAGACTTACGTGCTCAAAAACGGTTCGTTCAGATTCTGTGTTTGCCCTGGCCCACTATCACAACGACTCAGGTTGAGAGACCTGCCGCCGATAGGTCACCGATCACTTCTGATCGGATTACTTAGCATTTTTATTCTAATGACCTTGAACGTTGAACGTTTATCTGCTGTTTTATGTTAATCATCTTCCTCCCAGTTGTGGTGTTTTAGCCTGACGAGAGCCACCGCAAACGAGCTTGTTCGCTAACTTGTTGTTCTGAATTCCTGACTCAACGATCCACTCAAGATGGAACAATCACGGGATTCTCCTATCGTGCCACTCCTACTCGAACTTGGATCTGAACTTATTAATTTAGCAGAGTAGACTTATGGCACCGTTGGGTTGCTGCATCTCCCTGGAGTATCGTGGTTTCCATGGTGACTTGATTTACACGCGACGTACTCTCCGAGGCGGGATAGGGGATGAGATGCAATTATTTTGTCCTTGTGTGGATACTTCGACAAGATGTCACGGTATGAAGCTGTTTAAACTAAGGTTTCGGGTTCGCTCCAATGTCACTTCGTCAACTCATGTAGTGAATGACTGAAACAGTTTACCTGAGCCAGTCGTCTGTACGCAAACAGCGAGATGTTTAAAACGTTTGCTAGACATCCATTTGCTGAAAAAGCTTGTATCTTGCTGTCTTGACTGTGACGCAACTCCTACGCCGGCGCAACCAGAGGCTGCCGCTCTCGCATCTCCAGATATGCGCAAGCTGTATATGCAATTGGAACTTGGGGAGGGTGAGAGCAATGGTAGCGTTGGGCTAGAGTCTTGTAAACGGGTTTCGGTTAGGCAGCACACATCGATTGAGTTTCCAAGGTTCGCGCAAGAGCAGCTTGTGAACCAATCTGCATGAGCGTTCGAACATTGAACGTAGCTGAATTGAAGAGTGAGCAGGGTGCAATAAATGCTTTGCTGTTGGTATTGGAATGTGTGCGATCGGTTTTGAGCGGTTCATTGAGGAGGCCAGTGGTACCGTTTTTATTAGAGATGCACTTTTGGAGACTCGGAATTGAAGGCGGGTTGTCAAGAACACGAGGGTTGGACAAACGTGAAACGAAGAATGTGGTTTGCGATGCGGTAGAGTGAGGTTCAGCATGCCCGGCCGCCAGCACCCCGGCCGAAGAGAGAAAGTTCCGAGAGCGAGAGACTTGAACAGCGAGTTATAACTCCATCATTTCGTGTGTTGTGTGAGCATACAGCTTCCCGGTTGCCCAGGCCGAGGAAGGGGGTTGACTGAGGAGGCCTCACCCGGAGCCTTTGGTCATGGGGACCTGGCCCGCAAGGCAGTGGGGTGAATTCAGGAATCGCGCCCTTTAGGAGCCGGTGACCGATTGTTCGGTTCATACGCCTTTCTTTTGGTTGGCGGTCAAACAGGGTCCCAATACTCCAAGTAATTCGGTGTCAAGTTGAATGATTACAATGCTCCAGTGAGGTGAAGCAAGGGGCAGTGACGTTATTCAGTGGCAGGTCACGTCCGCCACGTCGCAGTGTTTTTAAACAGACATATGTGGCTTTTTACAGGGTGAACGCTTGCCAGGCGAAAATCCACCACATCCCGGAACACTGCCGCCGAACGTTTCGCTGGAACGGTATATATATATATATATATATATATATATATATATATATATATATATATATATATATATATATATATATATATATATATATGCCCTATGCTGAAGCTGATGTTGCATTCATGATGCTTCTTCACTGCAGTTGGGCTACACCAACTTACACTTAAACGCGGTCTTTTTAAGCTGGATAAATTTCATTCCACTTTAATAAGTTTGTTCTGCGTAGCTGAATAATCTATTAACTTGCACACGTTGCGCTTATCTTCGTTAACGTTATTGCGTTTGTAGCATTTTTCAAGTAACTTGTCGACATTGTGCACTTGTCGCATATTCGTTGATAACCAACTTACTTCGTATGCGAATTTAGCGAAGAGTTATGTTTTCATACAAATATGCTTTAATTGATATACATTTTTGGTAATAATATTTTAAGTGATTGGCTGTTGTTTGATATCCCAGTGTGGCTACGCTTGATGTGAATGTTGACATGTGCCTACCTGTCTGTTACCCACTACCTCGTCCATATGGCTCCAGGAGACAGTTGGTCGTAACTAGAGGGAACGGGGTGCACTGTCCTTGTGGCCGTGCTAGACTCGTAGAGTGATTTCATGCACTCAGGGTGGAGCGGACCACGGTCAAACCACCGCCTTCTGCGCGGTTGTTTCCCAAATACAGCGTGCTTGTGTTTGCTTGTGAAGGAGTGTGGGCCGGCTCCGTTAATGAAACGTGGCTCCGATCCACATGCCTCCCGGTCTTATTCGTTCGGGTTTACACTGGATATGGGGTGTGTGTTTGGAGCTGTGGGTGGTGTATCGCAAGTCACCCATGGTCCATCTGTAGGCCCAAGCGTCCTATGGCTGTCCCGGTGGAGGCCAAAGGACGCGTGCGCCTACACGTGGACCATAGATGGCGTGCGCTGCACCACCCACAGCTCCGACCACACACCCCATATCCAGTGTAAACGCGAACGAATAAGACCGGGAG